TTTTTTTTTTTTTTTTTTTTTGGTACCATTTTACCTACACTAACACTGCCTTCAGCGTAGCTGTGTGTCATAAAAACGAATATGCCAACCAGAAAATGACACTGATGAGATTGCTCTAAGCTAAAATTTTTTAAAGATCATAAAGCTCTGATAACCTTCATTTGTTATAGAATAATAAAGTATAAGAACTTAGAGGCTAGCAGTAAAGCCCGTGACATTGGTCAGCATTTCATTTTACAGTAATTAACATAGTCATCTGGAATCACTGGATCCTGCTAGCATATATTAGGCACCTCTGCATCGCAGGGTCTATGCTAGGACCCAGGGCTCCAGAATTCAACAAGGCCGCAGCACTGCCTCCCAGCTGGGGAGCCGGACAGGATTGCAACGTTTCTGTACTGTGATGTCATAGCATTTGTTTGCAGCAGAGGGGAAAAAATAATGCCAAATACCATCGCTCAAAGCTCCTCCAAAGCTCTGGGGCATAACTCATTTAGCAATAGTGGTTTAATGAACCTGTAGTGCCTGCCTCCTGTTTCCCTAGCACAAAACTGGGCAGAAGTTAGATCGGACTGGTATAAAAAGGGAAGGTGCTGTGCCAGGCCGTGGAGCTGACTGATCTGAGGTATAGACATGTGAAATTGAATCACATAGCCAGTGAGTAGCAGTTAATCGGGTGTGATTGGGGCTCAGTGTGTGTGTGGCCCCTCTCTGCCCTGAGGTTGGGGCCTAATTTTGTTCCGGTGAAAGTCAACCTTAAGAATGCCTTATCTGACATCCCCAAATGAAGTCGGTGACTGTAGGGCCTCCTAGGATTTGGCACTTTAAAAATGTATTCTATATCCCTATTAGTCACTGCTGCTTGTGCGTAGAAATGCCAAGCCAGCGGTTCCAGCCATGCTGTTCATTAACATCACCTGGGGGCTTTGAAAAACACCAGTGGCCAGGCCCGACTCAGAACAGTTTAAACAGAATCTCAGGGCCGGTGGCCAAGACATTACTATTTTTAAAACTCCCCAAGCTGACTAAGTCATGTTGACCTTTATCTATGGAAAAGCAACTGACAAGAGCTTACCAGTAATTATGAGACTAGCATATACTGGAGAGAAGAGCTGACTCCTGACAGCTTGCTCATTTCACCTCTCTATTGACAGAGACCCAAGGCGAACAGTTTTGAGCCTTGACAAACAGCTCTAGCTCATCCTTTGCACACAAACCTAACTAATGCATGTGCTGATCTTAATTGAAACTCGTACACAATTTCCAGAATAAGAAGCTGTGGGGTGAGTACATGTTATCCACACCTCACATAAACCAGTCTGAAAACCACTTCCTTAGTCGTATCATCTGCAGTCTATTAGTGGAAGTCTCTCCAGTAACAGTTTTCTTAAAGCTGATTACAGGATGGTCAAAAATATAAAATGGAGACTGTTATAAATTTAGGGACACTTCAAAATACTCAAGGGGAAGATCCATAAGAACTAAGAGCGACCACCGCGTAGACATACCATGAAGACCAATGGCCGTGAGGCTGTGAAGAACGTTACTTCATTCTCAGCATTCTGGACCATTGAACGTACAGTGTGGATGCTGGTAGCTTTGGGGAATGGTACAGAGTCATAAAGAAACACGTCAGGCGCTTTAGCACAGAAGCTGAACTGGCAGAAGGACAGTAAAAGGGTAAGATAAAGAAAATCAGATTATTCCTTGTGGCGATTTAGAGTTCAATGACTTTGAACTGCCCTTTTCTTTTGGATTTCTATTTCAGTATACTTGGAACAATTTAACAACCTCAAGTTTTAAGTTTAATGCATTCAAAATAAAAACCAATCTGAGGCGCAGATATCATATCACATTTTGACAGCTTGGTGGGGTGTTGAGCTGAAGGGCACAACTTCTGGGTCATTCTACTGGAAGTGACCTGTAGACGTTGAAAGAGTTCCTACCGTCCATGTTAAGGACTAACGGCCCTTCCCTGATCACTTTGGCTACTCTTCATTCTGTTTCTCTTCCCTGCGCTGTTTTTCATCTAACCCCTAGAAGCCAAAGGGTTGATGCAAAAGGGAACTATGGGTAAGCACCCAGTAAAGTAGAACTCAGGAAAACGCCTCTGGTTACAATGAGTTAAGACTTCAAGAAGAAAAAGTAGTAATCAGAGAGAGAAATAATGATTTTAAAAGCTGCATGCCCAAGTAGTATGTGTTTATGTGAACCACTTTTAAGCCTTTCTGAGTGACCATGGGAAGTAAATGAATAATAAATTGATTGCAAGCTGTCTAGGTAACAAGCATTCCATGGCTATTTGGGTAAAGGAAGTGTCAGCTTAGCAATAACTTTTTCTTCTTTAGAAAGCAAAACATGTTTTCCAGTTGAATGATGAAAAATTTCACGCAGTAAAAAGATGTGGAAGGGCAGGACATTTATCCTCAACATAACTGATTATTCCACATAACTAAAAGGGGTGTTAATTGATCTGTATCCTGGCCTTGAGCATCCACGTTACACTGTTTTCCAGGACATTTGGAAGTAGGTACCACCGTCACGATCAGAACCGTAAGGTCCCTTGTAGGCATTGCTGAATGTAGTCATGTTAGAGCTCTTTGTTTTGGTCATTGCGTCGCACCTTTCACTCTGCATCTGTGAGTGAGAGGAAGATGCAGATGGGGAAGGAACCAGAGCCCCTTTTCTTGGGCCTCCAGGGGCTCCTAAGCTGCGGCTCAGGAAACTGCTCTAATCAAGAGCCTTGGTTGGGTTACCGCTCTGCCCTGTTCCCTAAGCTCCTCCTCTCCCAGCTCCATTCAGAGCTTCTGTGCCCACATGCACACCATCGCTGGCCATGTGCAGGGGGCTCTGACTCAGGGATGGCATCCTCAGTGCCTCTAACACACTCCTCGTCCTCTGGTATCTGCCAATCCCATCCCCCATAGACAAGCTGCCGGCAAGATCACATTACTGTCGTGCGTTAGCATTCTCAGAATTGGGTCTTATGAAGGATTTGAAAGCTTTTGGGTTGTGTCCTTAGAAGAGTGCCTTCCTTCATATATAGTTTTATTATTACTTCCACGTTCTTGACATTTCCAGAGATGTAAGTACTTATGTGGTCCCATAGCAATCTAAGCATCATGAAATCTGAACTGCTGAGCAAAACACAGCTCCAAAAACCTGCACAGGACAGCAGTGCTCAGTAATCCACTGATATTTCGCCAATAATACCAAGCCTAGGGTTGTGTTGCATCTATATCTAGTTGTGTCCTTCAGTCTTCGAAGAGATCAGATATTAGCCAATATTCTTTCATATCGTAAAGTACCCTGCTCACCTTTAATGACCTATGCGATATTATTACTTATTCATGACCAAAGTGGCCACACTTCTGACAAACAATTTTCTGAGCCACTACATATAATCTTAAAGTATATCCCACTGGGTCCCTTAAATGTATAAATACTTCCATAAAAAGAAAAGGCTAAAAGTTGAAACTGGTTGCCTCTGTGAAGCAGGAATTGGGGGTGGGGCAGGTGTCTGCTTTTCTTTGTTAGACTGCCAGTGCTATTTGACAGATTACTCTGATAGAAATAAACTTGACTTAAAACAGAAAAAAGACTGGAAGGAAATACCATGACACCTTATCAGGACATCTTAAGGAAGGTGGGGGGAATTAGTGGCTATTTTTATTTTCTTTATGCTTTCTAAATTCATACAAGTATGCATAATGTATTTATGTGGGTTTTTAATGAAAAATAGTATATATGCTTTTCATGTAGTAAGTAGATATTAGAAGGCTTACTGGAGGATTAATTTGGTATGATGCATTTTGGATATGCTCTAAATTGAAAAATATAATTTCTGGGGGAAACAGAGAACATACGAGTCTAGGCACGATTACTCAGCTGAAGGCGTGAAGACTCAGAGTGAATACATGCTGAAGTCCTCAAGCGGGTGGCGATTGGGCATTGGTGGCAGGGAAGGGAGTTCAAAACAATGTAAGGGAGATAAACCAGGAGGGAGGATGCTGCTGGGCACCTGGTGCTGTGAACAAAAGTGTAAACACTTTGGGAAGGTTGTTGAAAAGAGGGCCGGATAAGAGTTGGAACCAGCTAGGCCAAGAACCAACAGTATCAGGGCCATTCCACATTCTGAGTTTGAGTGCTGGTATTTTCATTTAAATAAAAGCTTCTGGCCAAAGCTAGTTTGTCAAGAGACCATTTATTCCACATTTGGGAAGGAAAGCAAGCACTAAAAGCTGGCCCTCCCATGTCAGCCTGTCTGGAGGGAACAGGAGGTGGGTCCCAATTCACACTCATCTCTGTTAACCTTGACGATGGCACCGAGCTCCATGATCTCATCTGACAGACTGTAGAAATGTTTTACAAATTTAAATGCTCGGAAGTTGGAAATGTCAGGAAGTGAAGAATCACTCTGCCTTCTCCGCTTAATAAGAGCGTGCTGTGTTTGCAGGATGGATGGTCACAGTATCACTTTGTAGCCTCATCTTCAACCATCGAGAGGGATCGGCAAAGGCCCTACTCTTCCTCCCGCACGCCCTCCATCTCCCCAGTGCGCGTGTCTCCCAACAACCGCTCAGGTAAGAGACACCCGGAGCCAGCCGAGCCTGATTTCCCCCCTCCCTGGCCCCTTAGCTGACCCCACAGAGAGGAGAGGCAGCCCCATCCCAACGTTTGCTGGAAATATCAAAGGACTGTTTTCTTTTTATTACAGTGGGACTGTGTGTGACACAGATTCAGAACAAATCTCAAACAGGTTTCTAAAAATCTCTAACAGGTGTCGTGTCATGAAATGCATGTCGCAGACCCACATTCAGTGAGGAGCAAAGATAAAGAAAACTGCCAGGTGTTTGCAGTCAGCGTTTTCCAGGGATGTTTTTCCAACTTGAAATAGTTTGGGTTGCATTTTATTAATTATAATTGGAATAACACAGTAGGGTAGAGAGGACGTGCTAGCTCTTCATTTAGAAAGACATACATTTGGACTCCATCAATGAGGATTTCATTACTATTCCATATCTGATTAGCTTTTTATTATTGCCTTTAAACCAGTGGATAAATCATTGATAAATTCTTGTTACAACCAACCATCACTTTTAAGTCATTTATGTTGTTCTGATTTTGTTACCTTCTCATTGCTTAACTTTTGAACGAAATTCTCTTATTTACTTGTAGAGAGACTTTACTTTCACGCCCTTCGGCAGTCATGTCATATAATGCCAAAGATTAGAGAAAGAAATTAAAGGCAAAATGTAAGCACATTGGTCAGTATATACGTGGCATAGGTCTTGTTGTGGTTTTACTCAAAGTATATGTTTTTAAAATTTTTCTTTGGATTTCTGCATTTTGGTTTTTGTTCTGAGAAGGATGGATAAATAATTTTATGTGCATACACATACTCACACACACACACACACACACACCTGCACAGGCCTCTATTTAAGAAAGTTTCTCCGTGCTCTTCGCTGCCCTCTCACCGCTGAGGAAATAATATTTTCTGGAACTGCAACTCAGAGGGCATGACCGAGAGCATGCCCCAGCAGAGGCCCCTCTGTCCTTGAGAACGTTTGTCATAAAACTTTGCCCCACACAGTACTGTCAAGATGATGAAGAAAATCAGAAATGAATGGGAAATATGTGACTAAAATACATGACCTTCCCCCAGCCCTGTGAAAGCTTATTTTTTTTAGTGTGGTCTTACTGCTTGTAACATTTAGCCCCACACTAGATGAGTCAGGACCCCATTCTGTGTGACTGGAGGAACTTCGCTTGTCTCAGAAGCATGGAGATCGCCTTTTATGCATTATTTTCATAATCCTTAAAAAGTTAAAGAGAAATGAGTCTGGCAAGCACAAGGATGGTGTCTTTTTAAAAGCTCCAATTACTAAGAACCAATCAGTGTTAGGATGATGAAATGATATAATACACTGGAAAGTTCTGGGAGGAGCAGCAGCACTCTATCAGGGTGTTAACATCACAGCCACTTAGCTAAGGTGCTACCTGGTATTTCCCAGGAGAGGCACATCAAAGACACCTAATAAACACTTGTTTGTGTGATAGGATTTTTCCCAGAGCATCCCCTAGGGTTACAGGAGACCACTGTGCATGAGGTCTCAGGAGATAATTACACACTTGATGTAGTTTAATAAACACCACCATCTGTGCAACATTAGATTCTAATTTTGAAAGCTTTGGTCAAGAGGCTCCAAAATGTCCTCTCTTCATGATTGCCTGGCAGTGACTAATAAAAGGCTAGCCTTGATGCAGAAAGACCTAGAAGCAAAGGAGCAAGAGGAGAAAAGGGACTGTCCCCGGGAAGAAGGCTGGAGCACAGAGGAGAGGGGCAGTGGGTGGAGGAGGTGAGCGGGACACAGGGCAGGATGCTCTGGGAACACACAGCACCTGGACAGTCTGGCTGAGTGACATGGAGCAGACATGGTTTGCTTCCCTGTCTTCCCATTGGCTTTACACCCAGAGATTCTGGTCCAGCTGGCTTTGGGTGGAACTCAGCATGTGTATTTTTAAAGTATTCCAAGTAGTTAATTCTGATGGGCAGCCAGGATTGGCAACCTCAGAGAGTTTCAGGAGCTGAGCAGGGAGTCTCGATTTTATTTTAATAGGTTTGAGACGTGGGTGGGGGCTTAATGGGAGACAGGAAGCGATGGAAAGGCCCCTTTGCTTACCATCCTAGAACACCCAGCCTCTTATTCTGGTTTATCTGCCCGTCCATTTCCTCACCTGACTGAGGGCTCCTCTGGTTCAGAAAGTGTGATGCATTCATGTTTCTGTCACCCAGTGTCTAGAACAGGGATTTTCACATAGAAGATACAAAGGTTCAGACAGTGAAAAGAGGGATATGTTCAGGGATCAAGCTTACCCAGTGGGCTGTAACTGAGGGTATGAGTAATAAGCTGCAGGGTAAACTGAAGCTTGATTGGGGAGGAACTTGGACACTAACCAAGTAAAGAGGGCTTTATCCTAAAAATCAAAGTTCCCAGAGTTCTCTAGCCTTAATAATCGCCAAGTTTGCTTGTTAAATATGCATTCCTAGGCCCATCCCCTGAAAATTCAGACTCAAAAGGTCCAGGGCTGAGTCCTGGAATCCCTAAATTCTCAGGTGAATCTCAAGATTAGAAGAGCTTCTGAAGCATTGCCCCGGGCACAGGAAGCTGGGGGAGGCTTTAACAGTACTATGCTGAGCTCATACTGAGTTAGAGGCAACTGACTAAGCTCCAGCTATGAGTGGCATCTTGAGGAGCATGGAGGCCAATGTGAGGGCAACCACAGGGTGGGGTGCATGGCTAGCTACCTCGTTGTCAGCACGCACAGGTATTATTTTACATCTTGCATCACATCTCTGCATTGACAGGGCTGTTTAGTTCCTCCCAGTTCATCCCATCTCTCGAGAAAACTAAACTTCTTTGTTTGCTTCCTTACCTCCAAGTTCAGCCTTATCTGTGTTCTGGGACCAGTTTGTTAAAGAATCATGGGGACTTCTCTCATTACAACCCATCGTTATAGAAATAGAGACACAAAGGAATGGCAGGGCTCACTCCCCAGGTTCCAACAGGGCTCACTCCCTGGGGTCCAACAGTCAGGGAGGTCCAAGGTGCAAGGTGTGGGTGAAAGATTGTTGGGGTCATTCATCAAAAGAGCTGGAGCAGGACACCCCACCGGGAAGAAGGAGCTGTCCTCATACCCTGCCCCCAGCGCACCCCAGCAGGCTGGTCTTTGCTGGTTGGATTATTTTGGCCCCACAGATTATTATCCTGTGTGGAGAGTTGCCTCCTCTGCCTTCCTTTAGGGGAGTTTCTGATGACTTGGTATTTAAGTAAAACTGCATTTATTTTAATCAGAGATTCTTCAATATCAGTAATAGCTCTTCTGAAACACATCTAATTTTTTAAAAAGGGAGGGAGGTGGAAGAAAAGAAGGAAAGAAAGGAGGAAGAGAGGGTGGGAGGGAATGAGAAGAAAGAGAGAGAAAGAAACCAAGACCTATCTCGTTCTTAAAACTGCCCCATACGCCTTGGGTAGGTCATGCTCCCACCATGATGTCTCTAATAAAGATGGCCCCAGGATATATAGTCCTTACTTACTTGCCTTCAAGCCATGTGTCCCCTTAGCTACAAAGCACCAGGTGACACAGGGTAAGGGAATGGGTAAAGGCAGGAGCCAAAGAACAAGAAAATCAACAGGTCCATGCACACATGTTGACATGTGTTGAGTCAGGTGTATTTATGACCTTAACTGTGTGTGTGAAACGCTGTCCATGCTGTGGAATGACTCAGAAAGCTGTCCTTTTCATTTCTTTAAGTAGCAAGTGCCCCAGCTTCACCTCGGGAAATGATCAGCCTCAAAGAAAGGAAAACGGACTATGAGTCCACTGGCAGCAATGCCACTTACCACGGGACTAAAGGAGAACACGCTTCCAGGAAAGACACCATGACAGGTGAGCTCAGCTTCGTGCATTTCCCCCTCGGAGCTGGCGACTGGGTCTGGGACAGGGCAGGGGGCAGGGACATCAGGCTTTAAGCTGTGCTTGACAGCTCAGCAGGACTGAGAGCTAGCGGGTCCCTGGAGAGCTTGACAGTGACCGCCCCCAGGAGCTGGAGAGATTAAGCCAGGGGTGCAAAGACTTAGCGTCTTATTCCTGAAAATAGCTAAGAGAAGATGTCCTCTGCACGCGCTCCCCTCGGCCTTGCTTCACCTACCCGTTCCTCTCACTTGCCCAGCTCTTAATATTCTCTCCGATTAGAGAGACGAGTCGCTGTAGCTTTCTTCTTAGTTGGCATATCAAGCTTTGCCCGTTAGGAGTGGAGAGAGGGCAAGAAAAG